ACGATCCATCTTACTTTTCCTCTGTTCGGCTTTCTCGGAGAATGCCACCGGGAAATGTTGCTTTATGATTATTGGGCTCATCAATGAAGAATAATCACTTCACTCCTTAATCGATCCTAATCGTATCACGTGTTTTTATAACGAACACCACGATGTGACTCTCAGACACTTATGAGAATAAAAGGTATGATTAAAATGTTATTGTTTGTAGAGCCCAAATTTCAAAGCCCAAGAAAACTTTTGGAAAGTATGAAATAATCAAAAAATTTAAGTGAAAAGTTCAAATGTCACTCGGTCACATCGTGGTCCGAGTTAAACCTACCGAGCAATTAGAGTGACTAATTTCTGTTTCTAGTATCTTTGCAAATGTACCAATTAAAAATCTTTCGCAAATGTAGCTTCATACTTTGAATGCTGGCGAATTAAAATTCCTGAAGTGGGTCAATTTGACCCGGTAGTTTCAGTGTTAATTGATTAACTGGATGTACTCATGATGTCTTTTTTCAGTTTTACACCAAAGTTGTGGGTGAGTCGTACAAAAATGTTGAATCGATTAATCGAGGATAAGAAGATCAAGTATGTAAATAGACATTTTGGAACAGACACTTGAGCTTCTAGATATCTTCCTCTCGACCTTCCGAAATCTTCAGTGATTCTTTTACGTCATTGTAAATACACATCTGTGCATTTCACGAATACATCGAATTATATTCCAGCGAATGCGAATGTCAAGGTTCATTACGGATAGCTTGTTTCGAGTTCCTAATAGCATCCTCTCGCGAGTTTATATCATATATCCCCTCTTGTTCGGCAAGAGCAGCTTGCGCGTTAACGGGCCACGTTCTTTTTTTCTGGGACTGTCGCTGGGATTCTCGAGGACGCATTAAGCTCGACAAGATAAGAATTAGAACGTACGGAGCCGTGCGCGAGAGCACTTAGCAGCGCACATGGCTCTCTTTAAAACGTCGTTAGTGCATAATTTCTTGCGCTGTACCACTCGGCGGATTTTCTGTCGCCCGAAGCTTCGTCCCGTCGCTCTTCGAGCGACCGTTCGAGTGTCTTTTCATAATTATTCTCGATTGCTCTCGTAAAAATCTACTTAGAAACCGATCGGAAGTTTCTCAGGTATTCTCTCGAATCGATAATCATTCTCGATCGCCCTCGTGAAATTCACTTCGGGACGAATGATCGGTAACCGATCGAAAGTTTCTGTTCGAACGCTTCCTGAAATCTGTCGTCTATCCGAACGCTTCGCGAGGAAGTAAATCGTAGCGAACCGCTTTCATTCATCGATTTCACTCGCGCTCAGCAATGCCGCCCCTGAGAGTCGTCTGGTTTTTTCGATAGCAGGCCAACCTGCTTCGAACAGGTGCGACATCCTTCTCGACGCACGTCGACGCTCAGCCTCGCTATCGTGCTCTTTTCATCGGAGAACGGCGGAGGTTCTATCACTACCATTACCGCTGTCTACACTCTCGACGGTGGATACCGATCGGACGACTTTCATTGAACCATTTCACCCGGCCATTTGTGGTTCTTTCGGGTTCGTGATCGCGCGAGCATCTTTTTGTTCGAAAGTGAAACACTAGAAATCGACGATCCGTTTTCTTCCTGGAAATGGAATAGTTTGATTTAATAAATTAATTGATTGCGCCGAATAGAACAATGCACGAGATCAGTGTTTTGTATTGATGAATTTTTTTTATGATTTCATTGTTTTACGTTGGATGAAACATGTTTTATAATTGGAATTGTTTCATAAATTTGAAACGTTTTTAATTATATGTTGTTTCGTTAATATTTTATTTCTTCCTTTTGAATTTCATTTTACGATGTATTATTTAGGTATCTTAACACTAAAACTAACAGACGGTTCAAAATTACCCATTCCTAATTCCTTCTTTGCAATTATTAAAAAGATGACGTTTCTTTGAGAAATCAAAGAAATTGCTTTAGCAATTCGCGGAGTGAATAGTAAATCAATTAGAGTCTCGATAAATGCACTTTTGGAGTTTCTGTAGAATAATTTCTAAAATTCAATTTATCTGCTCGCTGGTTTTAACGTTAAAGGTTCTATTCCTAGTACGATTTCTGAATTTTTTAATCACAAGAGGAAAACACTGTGTCGACACGTATTGATCACAAATGGGTTAATCCAAGTCACCGAATGTAATTCGTAAAACTTAATAGAACAATTAATGAACACAAATCCGTTGCACAGCATTCAGCCACATTTTTTACTTCGTTAAAACTTTTCTCGTCTTCTCGTCACCGTTTAACCGAACGTCGTCGCGTTGAGCAAGTACCCTGAAGCGGTGCTTACCAACTTTCTACGTGTGACCGTTGCCCACCGATCCTTCGAAGATTAGTTACGAAACGAACCCGTTTAGCCCGCGTGTATCGTAATTTATCTACCGCGATGTCTTTGCGGAATCGTTTACCAGGAACGCATCTCGGGAAAACCTATCTAAACTGCCTGATTGCGGTTTTACGTGGACAGTATGGACTTTATAGAAAAATAGAAACCACATGAAACAACTTATTTCTGTTTCTATTACATTGACATTTCTTTCTGTAAGTTGTATATTTACTAAACTTACGGAAACATTGGAAATATATTAGTAGTATTTATTATTTGAAAATATTACTGAAACATTCAATCAAATAAAATTGAAATATTTAATAATGTAGAGTATTCAATCAAACAAAATTGAAATATTTAATAATGAAGAGTATTCAATCAAATAAAATTGAAATATTTTATAATGTAGAGTATTTAATAAAGTAAAATTGATAATATATTGATTTCTGGAATTTCAATGTCAATGACAGATTGTTGGTAACTGAAAATTCGATGTATTCGTATGCTCTCGAAGATAGCGGTTCTAGGTTATTTTTCAGATAAAGTTACAGGTTTCCGAGAACTCAAGAAACGTTTCTACACCATAATAGGAGTTTTCCATCGAATTCGATTTCGAAATAGCTCGCTGCCACTCGTTTCATTCATGCCGCGGCGATATGCTGATTAAGGGAAAAGAAACGGGGCGTTCGCTCTTCGCAATGACTAAACGGGGGATTTCGTTCGGGTCGCCGATCCGATTTACATACGTCAGATTTGCATACGTTTATGTAATGGGAAATTGAGAGTTTGTGGGCGTTATGAGTTTCCTTTCTCGCTTGATACAGTCCGAACCGTCTGTTCACGGTGGAGTAATTCAATTCTTTCTGGAGTTCGTTGCTCGCATCTTGAATCGGTACTCTGAAATAGCAATTTTTCTCCTATTACTACATCAGATTTATATATTCTTAATAAAACAACGATGTCGTTATTAACTCTTTTTTGTTTTATTAATTTGCGACAGTTATTAAGTACGTAGAGAGGTTAATCGAAGCTTTTAATACGATTCAAGGGAATGTTTCATTATTTTCATCGTCCTTTTAATATGAATGGATTTATAGACGTTCGGAAATCATTTAAAGTCGCTACGGAAAAAATGAAAAGAAAGGGGAGAAGTACCTGACGCCAGGGCGACATAACTTTAATATGGAAACGTGTTTTGGCAGGCATGAATATTAATAAGCGTCCTCAGGAAACCAGTATATTGTGTGCCCACTAAAAAGCAGAAAATTTATTTCCTCGACGTGCCTCGGCTCGCTCACGTCAAGTTTTTTCTCCGTTTTCTTCGGAAGGAATCCTTCATTTCCGTAACTGGAAGGCGTATTATGACAAATACCGAATAATAAACAACAGAATATTTCTATTTCTATACAATCGAATCTTTAATTGGCGTCGCGATAATGTATTTACTATGGGGAACGCTATAAACGACGTTCCCGTGAACGACAAACGATTTTCTTTCCTGCAACGGCCGCAATAAAACTGTAATTAGTTCATTCGGAAATTCACGGTTTAATAGTTATTACTTGGAATATAATGTTACCCAATGAGACTTACATTCCGCGGTAATATTTACGCCGTAATTCTTACTCAACCGTTCGGGCCTAAAATTGCACGCGATGTTGCACAATAATAAAATTTCTTCGTCCCTCGCGATCAGGTGGTTTCCATCGGTACTACCTCCGGTAGCATGTGTTGTACGCACGAAAAAGGGGAATATTTAAACAGTCCTCCTAACACGTGGAGAGACTTCGGCATTGTTCATATATTATTCTGTACACAATGCATCCGGCTGTCGCGGCAAGCGAGTTTTTTCCACCAGGATATACAGCGTTTAATCGTACATCTACAATAATATTTTTCAGGAAACTGTAGTTTTCGACGGACGATAAAAAAGCGAAAGATTTACAACACAGGAGAATTATTAAAGAAATATTTCCTGATATTTATACTTCTTTCCGCGGTTTGCATCTTTACGGTAATAAAAAGTCATCGTATCCGAAGATTTATGAAGTCTGTAACTTTATGAAATCATTAGCTTGATTGTCGCGTTTCATATTAATCGGCAATGGTTTACAAAGGAAACATCGTTTAGAGTGTATTAGAATCAAAAATTGAATACAATTTAATCTACATTTTTGTCCAAATTTCTCGAAACCAATTTTACTTCTTAATTATTTCTAGCATCAACGCTAGAACTGCCGAGCATTTAATACAATTATTTTCTTTTAGTTTCTTTTATTTTTCAATTAGTTTCTTCAGACAGTCATTATAGTATTCAAACGAAACTATTTATTTTCAATATCGTTTCGGCTGTTCGAGCGTTGAAGATATCAACAATTGCGTAACAAGAATATCGAAACCGGTCGTTTCGACTGGTAGTTTGAGTGTTAACTAAGTGCAAGTGCCATGAAACAAAGAATCCCATACACAAAAGGGTGGTTCAATATTCCTGCTCGCTGCGGTAACTTTTACTGCCGCGCTACGCTGCTCGAGACAGCTAGGCCCAATGGTTTAACGACATTTCAAAACAGTTTCGAATCTACATAACGTTCTAGTTCGAGACCGCGATACTAAATCCTCATCACCTTGTTTGCTCCAGGACCTGTTCTCCCAGCTCCAGTTTTCGCAAGAGAGCGCGCTGCCGCCCGACACTTTGCGCCGCGCTTTGGCCGAGAGTTTTCTCGATCAGCAGAGGTTTCAGCTCGGATTCATGGACGACGCGGCGGAATGTTTCGTAAGTATCAATTACCTCGTTCCCTTTTGGCCTGTTATGTGCGTCCCGCGGCCGGGGACGCGCGAATCTAGGCAAAACGGGTTTGCAGTATAGTGTTCAGCGGACACTTCGCTATTTCGTCGCGGCTTGGAACGCCTGTCGGCGGGTTTCTTTATTTAATTCCTCGAATTAGGACATTCTCCGCGGCGAATACTAAATCTCAGATCTCGAAAGTGGTTTCGCTTCTTGGCTTACACCGTTGGGTTTCGTCTATCGATATTGGCTGGCGTTCGCTGATAGGGGAAACTTATTTTTAGCTTTCTTCTGTGCCAGTATGGATTATTAAAGGTTATTCGTAGGGAAATTAAGATATTATACGTTGTTCTTCAAGATATTCATCGATGATACATAGTCTTGCATAGCAGATTCGCCCGGAGAATCTCGCGGATGGACGTATTAATTGCAGTAATTGGCCCTTCTCGGTGTTATGAGAACAAGTTATTACATACATGAATAATTCAACGAAGATTGTGCGAAATCTCGTTCGAACCGCTCATTTAATTGATCAACTTATTGGCGAAGTCTCGTGCAGTTGTAAATTAATCATCCAATTAACCAGTATCAACATCGCTTCGCGGAGCGGGTCCGCGAGCATCTTCGAAGCACCATCAGAAAAGAGTGTACGCTTCGGTAAATACTCCGATTTACAGGCGAAAATGAATTTTCATATCGTCCGCCTCCAATTCGATCGATGCAATTACAGGCGCACCCGTCCTAATCCTTCATTTCGAAAGCTCCAATTTACCAGATCCACACGGACGAACCATTGTTCCGCGAACAATACAACAAACGTCGGTAAATCCAGTGTTCAGCGAGACCATCACAATACACCGTAGCGAGCATCGCTCGAACTACTAATTCCGGCGAATGTCGCCGATCAGGAACGAAAACAATCCCCTGAATGTGTCACGGTTGCGGTGCGCGTATCAACGACGCCAGGAACGCGGCGGGACAAAGCGCTTAATTTCAGCTAATTGCACAACGCGTAACTCGAGCAGCGTGCTCCTGGGCCCGCAGATAACGGGGTGGCGCGATCGCTGTCGTTCTTACATTTATTATACTCGCGCAGCCGCGACTGCATTCGTAACGTTACATTCATTTTATTCAACGGACCGATGTCGACACACAGCTACACGAACGTATACGTACGTACGTACATCCAGGCGCACACCTCGGCGCACGTACGCGTGGTTAAACGTGACTCCGGTGTAAACGAGAAAGTGGACTCCCGCCGGGGCCTGTGTTTGCTTAGACTCACCTACGGATAGGTGTATCGTTGAGGCAATCCGCGCCGCGGTGTAGTTAGCAATTATAACGGAGAACTGGTCCGGCGCGGCGCGGCGCTGCGCGGCGGTCGGCTGGAATATTCAGGATCGCAAACCACTCGGAAAATCGGCCCGTGTACCGCGAAGGAAATCGCCGAGACCCTCTCGGCGCGCGAATGTCGAAAGAGAGAGGACTTATGCCAGGCGCAGAGTTAGACACCGGGCCGCGTAACGGCCAATAATTCCGCGGGATTAGCAAGAACCATTCGATCGGGCTGCTCGTTTCCTTACGACCGCAATACGTGATCTGTATTGTATTTATATTGGATTATTCCGACGAGGTCCGGTTGCGACGATCGACGCAGGAAAAAGAAGCATTCTGCTGGTTACACGATGTATAAATTTCATAATCTGGTTGTAAACATGTATCGGCCGTTCTTCTGTGCGCCTTCTTTCATTCAATTACCGATGATAATATAAATTTCCGCTGAGCACCATGTTCTGCGAATCCTGTACGATCCTTTTTCGCGAAACGGGTTTTTAAATGAGGCAATAGATGCGTCGGAGAAGGTGACTTTGTGTTTTGGTGGGAGGTATGTCGTTGAATTGGTTGATTTGGTTGAATTGGTTGAGAGGATTGTTTGTGGAATTGTATCTTCCGAGTAAGCAAATGTTGAGTGCTTGTTGAGACTTGAGTCTTCCAGTCTTCGAAGACTAGCTAATTATAATATTCTGATAAATGCAACTTGTTTGGGTTAATATATTCATATATAACATGCAACAATATATTTTCGCTGTACCTTTGGATTTTAATTTTAATCTCTCTTATTCGTACAGGATCTCTATTGCAAATATTTCTACGATAAACAACGAATTGGTAGAAATTGCTTTAACAGTGGATCTTAGAAGTAGATACGAAAGTTGATCGACAATGAGTGTATTTTTCAAATGAATTACTCTTCCTCGTCGATGATTGTTAGTTGATAATTAAAAGTATTGCTCTCCGCGTTAACTGAAGTAATTTCTTGCAAGCACCAGGGTTACCTGTGCTCTCAGACGCGCCGAGAAAATGCATCTGATCGTAAAAGGAGTCGCTAGTTTCTTAGCTACATCCGCGGACGATTGCAACCGATGAACGATCACCGATCACGGCCTTTTATTTTTAGCTGATTATCATCGAGGAAGCTAACATTAACGGAATCTCGTTGCAGGAAAACATTCTCCTGCGGATACACCTTCACATAGCGAACGGCGAGGCGGAGGATATGTGCAGCGCGAGACACTGTGTGCCACACCAGAAGTTTGCCATGACGCTCGTCGAGCAAAGCGTTTGCAGCGCTTGCGGTGCCACTTCGGAACCTCTGCCTTTTACACAGGTCAGTCTAATGTTAGTCCCCGCCGCCACCGGCGGCCCGTGAACGAGATTAATGACGGCAAAATCATTTCGAATCGCTGGAAAGTGGTAAACGGTAATATTGCTTTGAACCCTGTCTCGACGACCTCGAGTCCTTTACAACCTTGATCCTACGATTTCATTCCTTTCCTATGTTCCTCGCTTCGTTCCATTTCAAACATCAATCTTCCTTATCTTGCTACTTTTGCCATCTTACATAGCGTTGCTAGATCATGAATGCAGTCAGCTTTGATCGCGTCATACAGATATACCGTAGAAATTTATTAACACTAGATCTACCGAGCATTTGAACCGCCATTTAAAATTTCTTTATAAATGACAGCGTGAATTTATTAAGATTTCAATTGGTTTATATCTCAGGTATTACTAAATCGAATTCTGTAATCATTTTTTAAAGTGTCTGTTTGTAATAATTGTCGAAGAAATTAAGAATTGGTCATTTTTACCCAGGTAGTTCTAGCGTCAATACCAGTTGTTTATTTCAAATAAATATCTCACACTTCAACGTTTCTACAATATAGTTATTATATATTCTCTAATGCGTTCCAAGTCATCACTCGCGAGAGTTTCACGTACCGATTCAATTATCTTCCTGCAACCTTCATTCCTCTCATCATGGCGCAAGAAGAGACATTCGTCATCGTTAATCTATGAAGGAATAAATTCGACTAACATCTCCCCGGGACACTCGAGGACACCGCATACGATCCTCGCCTCGCTCGCGTGCTCAATGAAAATCGCCGAGACAGCAATAGCTCGCGGACACAAAGCGAGCCTCTTGCGAAACTTTCCATCTAGCTTCAAGGATAGCCTACGAGGAATAGTTTCTCGAGATCTTTTCTCCCAGTTCTGCGCAGCATCTGTCGAATCAGTATTTTCCACGATCGGTGGCTGCTTTTTCGTTTCCCACGCAGTTCGGTCAGGTGGACCGGGCCGAACGAACGAAAGATCCGCGATAGACCGGTGGTAAAAGGTGGATCCTAGAGGTCGGATCCCTTTGTTCGCTCCCGGGAACCTTGAAAACGACGCGCGCGAGGGTACACCGGGCGCAGGGGGCGGGCAAGGCAGGATTAGAGGGAAGTTTGGCCTCTTGGTGGGCTTAAGCGACTTAGCTAAGAAGCATAAGCGCTCTGAGATATTGAACAGCCGAGTCGCCGAGTGCAGCCAGATTAAACCGATCGGGATTCGATGGTTCATTGCTCGGTCATCGATTGGCTGGAAAGAAAGGAGGATTTGGGGAAGCATTGTCGATACCACGAACACTTTTACCCTTGTCAGTTCGAGGCTCGCCGCGTTAGCGTTAATTGATTGTAGCGATCGACTTCATGAGCGTTTTTACGATCCCGTTTAACCCTAATCGTGCCACGTGTTTTTATAACGAATACCACGAGACTCTCAGTCACTTATGAGAATAAAAGGAACGATATTGTTTTTGTTTACAGGGCCCAAATTTTAAAAGCCCAGAACTTCTGGAAATGCAATATGATATAATCAAAAAATTTAAGTGAAAAGTTCAAATATGCCTTGGAGTCGCATCGTGGTCCGATTAGGGTTAAGCGAATTGATTTAGGGTTTAAATGCACGTTGGAAAGTTGATTATGCTACTGTGTAATCCGAGATAGAAAGAAAATTGTTTACGGGTGCAATAGATATCGATTTATAGCTTTTTAATGGGTTCAGTTGGTTTAGGGTATCAGTAGTTGGTTATATTTCCGTCTTCTAACGGCGAAGCGATATTATCAAAGTCTAAACTGAAAGTGAAACTAAATATCAAAGATACTGGTGTGTAAATTTAAGTTGAATTCAGGTCTGCAGAGATTTTCTGCACGGTCGGCCGAGCGCTCGGCGCGTCAGGGTGGAAAACTTGATATGCAACGAACGTTCCATAGTCGTTTAAGACCGACTCCGAAACTTTCTGGAGGTTTTTAAGTTTCATCCGCCGGTTCTCGAGTTAATTCGAGGAAACCGATTGAATACACAACTCATCCGATCGAGCAACGTTCCGTATCATTGCCAATTAATTATTCGAGCGACACTCGGAGGAAAAAGGTTTCCGCGTCACAGGCGATCACGGGCACCGTCGGATTTAATCGACACCGACGCATGCTCGAATAACTTTTATCGCCTTCCTCGCAAACAGCTTCTCCCCCCGCCGTTCCGTTGATTGTTTCCGGTTCAGTCGGCGAGGAAACCGAAACCCTCGGCAATTCCCGGTTTAGATTATTCGATGATTGGTAATATTCGAGCCGGCGGCCATTACCCAGGACGCTGCCGTTCAGAAAAATGCGGAACTGGATTCGCTGCTTCCAGTTGTATTGCTTTCTGTAATTATTTACGTAATTCCCATCGATTCTGATTTACCTCGCTTCGAAACGAATTAAGCTGAAACCGACGCGGTCGTTATTTCTCGGTGTGCGTATTGTTTGTTAGATGAAACATAAATTATCGATCGCTGACCTTCGGAAGGGAGGATTTATCTTTTCGAACGATCGAGAGTTTTAAGGCAATTTGTAAGGCACTGATTAATGGCTCGGGTTTTATTGCCGTAAAAAGTGTGCACGGAAAACGTTGCACCCTGCGGCAAAGGTGAATTAAATTTCTAATTACCGGCATGAAATTACTTACTGCGAACTTTCGGCGAGAATCTGACGCAATAACGAAACCCGCATTTATTACACAGTGATTCATAATTACACCTTCTTCCGTCCGTAAATTGTACAATTTTCGGAGAAGTTCGCGCTCCGGGCGTTAAGAAAAACTGGGCATTCACCGTCCGTTACGTTTCTGCTTTCATTAAGCGATGCGTTGGGACGAAATTTTGTCATTTCAAGCCTTTGGCTGAAAAGTGTCGAGCTGTGAATACCGAGGAAATGTGTCAACCGGACATTCCTTAAGATTCCACGTGTTATTTAGGTTTCCAATAGAATTCGTTTAACATTCGGTCCACTTGAAATTATAAAAATTTAACGGATTATTCGTGCTGATTTTCGATAACCAAAACATCCAAATTCCATCTGAACTTAATAGGCAGCCTTTCCATTCAGTTCCTACAGCACGAGATTTGCAGAATTTATGATCGAAATTCTTGAAGTTCATTAGAATTCAACCCCTTGCCTTATAATAACGTGTGAGACTCGTGGTGAATGTTTCAAACAGAACAAATATAAATATTAGTCAATTATTGTAAATATAAATGAAATATCCGTGTTATCAATTATTATAATTCAAAGCCAACACAGGCATAGAGTATACCTAAAACTTGTCTCTATTTTCAATAAATTATTAATGGCAAAGTAGTCGTGTTCATAGTTGAAAAATAAATCGTAGCGCAAGGGGGTTAAATAAATAGTTTACCTTTGAAACGTAAATTTTTTAATTTAACAGACAGCTACGGTGTACGCTGGGTGTATTCTACCGCAGGAAAGAAAAACAGTGCCCTTTCGAGCACGTACACGGCACGCCAGTCCGCATAATCGAGTGCGGAGCACAAACACCTCACGTGGGTGGAGTTGTTCCCCCTCGTGTGCTCGTATCGGCGTTGTCGGCCGATTGTAAAAACGCGAAACTCGTTGCAATCTCGTATCGGTCATGGCCGATCGGTTTTACCGTCTCGAACTGGCTACTATTCCAACCCGTGGAACCAATTCACTATAATAGCCAACGTTTAGACCAGAAACCTTTCAACAGCTGAAAATCTCATTCAGATATTCATCAACCTCCACAAACCTCTGTTTCCATTTTTGCAAGCGCTTAACGTTTTTCATTCGTTTCAATCAATTACTTTTCTAGAGATACTTACAAGCAGCTGTCGTTCTGACGTTTTCTTAGAATCTCATTACACGAAAAACATTAAAATAACCTTGAGCTATCCCCCAGTGCCGTAATACAAATTTTAGCTACAACCACTTGATTCCGTGATTCGCGTGGCGTTTTAATCCGTTGCGATCGTAGATTCTTTGGAACGTACAAAACCTTTGATAGATGAAGCTAAATTATATATCAATTGCTTAAATAATAGGAAACTAAGTGCTGATCTCTTGCTGTTTGAGAAATTAAATCATTTGTTTGCGATTTGGTCTTTTAAATATGAAAATTTCTCGCCGAACTGTCGACATTCGCCCGCAAAGGGTTAACTAGATTTTGATAGAGTGCTCTAATATCTTAACAATTATTAACCCTTCGCGCTCGGAAGTTTCTCGAAATGTTTAACATTTGCTGACGAAGACGATACTCCTTGAAACTAACTCGAAGGGAAATCACAAGTACGTTGAGGAGCAAAGCTATTTTATTCCAATATTTCAGGTATCTAGGCAGTATAATTGATATTCCTGATATATTGATCGTTTTACCGCGTGAAATCGTATGGCGACTGAAAGTCGCCTTCCGAGTGCAAAGGATTAATACACGTGAATCGCTAAGGATTAATACACGCTTTTAATGATTATAATCTTTGCATCGTCTTTTTGCAGATGGTCCATTACGTGTCAGCATCAGCGCTAACTTCGCAGGCGAGGCAAACGCCGCCGAATTCTCGGAACAGCCCTGACCTTTTCGGACAGCTTCTTCGAAAAGCTGGCGGCATGGGCGACATCCGGGACTGTCCGGTGAGTAACACACCTCGTCTTAAGACTCGTAGCTCCCTCCGGTCGGAACTCTCGCGGTTTCGCACCTGAAACGACAGTTCCGGTGATTCAACTTTTCGTCCATCCGGTCGAGGGGCAAGATCGGGTGCACTCTCCTTTGGCCTTTCTTGGAAGTAATGTGTATACTTTCTCTTTGAAGTAGAACAGTGCCGACAAATATCACCGCATATTAACGTATGCTTGATATTCCAGTAACGTTATGTTGGAATGCTCGATACAATCAGGGAAATATGAAAATTTATGCGACAAGTCCAGTTATTGTAACAGGAACTTCATTTTTCCTTGTTATATAGCCGAGAGGATATTCGACATTTAAACTTGATGTTCACTTCCGGTAGCCGACGCGATAGATTGAGACTTTTCTCAGACGTTGGCGAAATTGTAAAAATATTGGAACGTTTTAATTCGATTGTTGATCATATTGTTAACACTGGATGTACTGAGTAGTAGCCTTTTTGAAATTGTTCTGTAGAATCCTCAACAGTGCAATTATTGAGACTTCAATTGGTTTGCAATTCAATTTGTGTGTTGCTAAATCAGTTTAGTAGTTTTTCGGAGAAGCATCTGTTATCTGTCGAATAATTGGAAAAAATGAGATCAGGAATGGGTTATTTTGACCTATCCGGTAGTAGTGTTAACAGCAGAGAATAATTAACCAGTTAACTGTGGAATTTCGTTGGAGAAACCTCTCGTTCTGCGCGCAATAAGATAAAAAAATGGAGCGTGTACTCATCGAACGCAGGACGAATGCAGGTAGAGTATATTTTAATCAAAGATCAAAGCGAAATAAAGAAGAATTATATGTTTATGTGAGAAAATAAAGAATTCATCGCTGAAAGATTTAGTATCATGTCAAGCTTTACGATGACCTGTATACTCGTCAAACACAGTTAACTGGTTAAATAGAGAGTTGTTGGAGATTTTCCTCATTGTCGCAGAAAGAAGTTCTTTCGAACGGCAGGATTCTAATAGTGAATGGTACTTTTGTGAATGTCCAGAGTTCCTGCGGAGCGAAAATCCAAATCTGCAGGACCCTGATGAACCGACCGGAAATCGTGTCCGTCGGAGTCGTATGGGATAGCGAACGTCCATCGCTGGAACACATCATGGACGTTTTCGCGACCGTGGGAACGTCTCTCCGGCTGAGTGACGTTTTCCACAGCGTGGTAGACTCCCGATGGGGTGCTTCGACCGTACACAATCTCGTTGGAGTCGTTACGTATTACGGGAAACATTACTCCACCTTCTTCTTTCATACTAAATTAAAGGTTCGTACATAATTCTGTTGCTAATTTAATAAACGATACTTTTAAATATATTTGAACGATTAATATAGCCTCGTTATCTTATTAACGCTTATATTTGTGTACAATTACAATTTGAGATGATATTATTTATCAGATTTTAATAATTTCACTTTATTCGATATCAATTTTACATAGAATTATATAAAAATTATTTGATACAAAATTATAAAATTTGATAAACGATACTTTTTGATCAGTTGCATTGACACGTTGACTGCCACGAGAATTTCAAGCAATTTGTATAGCAATATTCTTCCATAACAAAGGCAAATGGTATTAGAACTATTTATTAATTTGGTATTAGTGCACTCATTACACTATTATTTAGCTGCTTATCTTACTAAATATTTTTATTCGACATCGATTTTCTTATTGTAGTTGTTTTCAAGTAATTTATAAGCTCCGGGTATCGGTGACCACCGTGGCAGTCAACGTGTTAATGGTAGGATTAATTGACACTGTAGTGTTTATTAATAATTATTTTTGACTTCCCCGTAGGTGTGGATCTACTTCGACGATGCGACCGTCAAAGAAATCGGTCCACGTTGGGAGCAAGTGGTGGAGAAATGCAGGAGGGGTCGATATCAACCTTTGCTCCTGCTGTACGCAACGCCCGGTGGCACTCCGGTTAACACGGAGAACGCTCCGAAAACAGTGACGCCGTTCCCAAATGGGAATGGCTTGAAGACACCACCGAAGAATAATGTTCGACGATCGATCACCCCGAGCCCGGAGAAACCATCGATCAACAGCACTGCTAGACGTGCCATCACGCCAAACCCGGATAGTCCTCCTCATTTTTACACGCAACGCAGGATCTACAGCGATTATCAGAACCTCACTGACATACAGAACAACATCTTCGGCAATCAAGTAAGATTTTAGGCCTGAACTCAATTTTACAAGTTACATTACGTTCGAAATGAAATTATTTTAAATTAGAGACGAAACGAATGTCTGTAGTTCACTTTAGAGATTAATAAATATGAAATTAATTAGTGTATATTAATTAGTAATAATAGAAGTGATTAGTCTATATTAACCCTTTGTATTCGAAAGTTCTTCACTGGAAATATTCAACATTTTCCGATGAAATATAGAGGACATTGCTTCAAAATAATTGAACGCTAATTCATAGATCAGTAAGGCAACGAAGCTATTTTATTTAAATATTTCACATAGCAAATAGCTGTATCAAATCAAGTGGTGACTGAGAGTCACCTCGAGTGCAAAGGGTTAACTGTTAACAAAAGCGTCTTTACCCAAGCCAGTATGATAAGTAACGAATTAAAGAATACAGCTCTAATGAACGTGGTCTTTCTTTATTTTAAAGGGTGTAGACACAGTGGACGGCGATGTAGAATCGAAGTACATCAGCCGGCGAGCAGTCGAAAACGTGATGCAGCAGCAGAAGAAACAACAAATGCAACTGACTCGCAGTCTCAGCGCTGGTTCGACGCCGCAGGATGGTATCAGTATCCCGGATCACTTGAACGTGCCAAGGAGACGGGATTCTGGAAATTGGTCCGGCGATCGGAACAGCGCGTCGTCGAGTTCGTCGACGACTATGGATAATCCGTATCTGTACATCGTGAACAAAATGCAGAGGAATTCGGGGGTGCCCAAGAGCCCGACCAGCAAGTCTGGAGAGCTGTCTAGCAGCAGCAGCGGGCATTACGACGCTGGATACGACTCGTATTCCTTATCCTCCACGGATAGCCTTCCTCTTCAGCAGGGTCTAAAGCATAATCTGCAGGTATACACCAAGTTTCATAATATATTGATTCTTTGACTGTTTGCTGCCCTAATCCTGCAGATTACGAAGCAAATGTTTGTTCATTCACTTAGAGATGTTGAAGTTAAAGAGAAATCAATCTGTTTTACTCTAAACTCTATTAGAAATGTTTTTGTACTTTAGAAATTTGGAATTGTGATGTTCAATGTAATTTTACATATTTTACGACTGTCAAGGCAATAAGGAATATGTAATTATTTATTACAGCTTGCTCAGATCCCAGAGGGCTATCAAGCATCTTCAGGCGACGACTGCGAACGTCTCTGCAAGGAAACCGACGCGTTGCTGGACAAATCTCGAGCAGCCGAAGATGCCGGCGATCTTAGCACTGCGGTAGCACTATGCAGCGCTGCGAGCAGCAAAGCTAGAGCTGCGATGGACGCGCCGTATAACAATCCTCACACGATCACCATAGCGAGGATGAAGCATAACACTTGCGTTATGAGAACGAGAAGCTTGCACAGGAGAATGCTGCAGGAGCAGGCGACTGCTAATGGAGAGAAAGAAGGTTCGTACTTGGAAACATTATTTTTATTTGTCCATGTCGAAGCAGCGGACAAATCCAGCAGCATCTTTTACAATCCCTTAACTTAAATTGAAAATAAAATTGTTAACGTGTTTAATTGATAGCAAAAATAATGAAATACTAATCATTAATTCCAGAAGGTGCACCGGAAGGTAGACACTCAAGAGAAAACAGCAAATCCGGCCAGCACTCTCGGCAGAGTTCCAGAGACAAGGGTAACCACTCGAGGCAAAACAGTCGCGAACTTCTGACAGGTACAGCAGCAACAGTCACAGACAAGCCGGCAGCGAAGAGTATCGAGATCTACGCCACCCTACCGAAGAAGAAGACTCTGCGTAGCAAGGCTACAGCGGTGAACGTGATCGAGGACGAAGAGTACATGCTCTACGACCGACCAGTCCAGAGGACGGGTCTGTTCAGCCGTGCAAAGCGCTGCGACGATGACAAGAAGGATAAAAAGCGAGCTCGGAGCGAGGAGAGAAACAAGAACGTCTCGAAAGACTTCTCCATAGCTCCTCCACGTTCCTCGCCATCCCCTAAAGGAACAAAACTCGAGAAATCGAAGGATACCGTTGACGTAGTCAGCAGTAACTCAAGAAATCCTCAACCGAGCAATGCGAACGGCGAACAGAAGCAAGGAAAGAAACAGCACAAGATTCGCAGGAAACTGTTGATGGGGGGATTGATCAAGAGGAAGAACAGAAGCATGCCAGATCTGCGCGAGGGACAAGACGGACAGACGAGCGTGAGCGTCGAGGGCTCCTCGAACACCTTGCCAAAGCAGTCAGTGGACGATTCCAGCGTAGGTTTGAAGGGGAACGAGGTGTGCCAGTCTCTGAGCGGTTACCTGTCAGAGGGCCACCTGGAGTTCACCGGGAACAGCAACAGTAGCCCGGGCAACACGAGCAACCCGAACCTAGAAAGAAGTCGTCTGATGAGGAAAAGCTTCCACGGAAGCGCCGGCAAAGTGTTACACGTAGCGAAGGTACCTCCGCCACCTCCGCTCAGGACCACTTCTCAGCTTAGCAAGTCTAAGTGTTCGGGTGAAGTGCACAACGAGCAGCAAACGGACAAGTCGATGTACCAGTCCGAGGGACAGTGTTCCTCTAACTCAGCCCAAGAACAGAACGGAGCATACTGGAATCACATGAGCACCGGGACTTCGTCCAACAGTGCTAACAGAACATCGAACTACACCGACTACTCTTCCGAGTCTCATTCGTTACCGTTTCTACCCTCCTACAGCATGGAGAAGAGCACCAGCAATGTATCTTCGTCATGCCAGAATTACAACAACAAACCTAGAATTCAGGATGATGTCGTGCAGTACGCTAATGGGATTTTGTACGAGCCTACGTTTGTAGTGACCCGCGCGGATGTACACAACGAGCAAAGTCCCGTGAAGCAGCCGAGTCAGGTGGACATGTTGCCTCCGTATCCCGAAAACGGGAATGTCTCTCATTCGAGGCAGCCTAGCGAAGACTTTCCTCCTCCGCCGTACCCATCGATTCACTCTGTCTCGCATTCGAGGCAGGCCAGTGAGGATTTCCCTCCGCCGCCACCACCAATTGACGATACTTCCAATCACCCTCAGGATAATCAACAACAATACCAGCAACAGCAATACCAGCAACAACAATACCAACAACAGTATCAGCAGCAACAATACCAGCAGCAGTATCAACAACAACAGTCTTCCATTTCCATGCAACAGCGCCAACAGCAGTTGGAGAATCAGCAGATCAGCAGTTTATTAACCCAACTGCAGATCAAAAGGGATCAGATTCTGGCTTCTAAAGGCAGGGAAGAGAGAAGGCCTGTAGAGCAGGAGGACGAGGAGAAATCTGCCAGCGAAACGTGGCTCCGCGAGCTGCAGGCCAAGCAGGCCGAAAGAAGATTGAAAAAACAGAATCCCTTGGACCAGGACATACCGAAGGTAAGGGCGTCACCTTCTTCGATCACTGGACCAACAGTTGCGAGGAGGACCAGCGATCTGATGATGAACAGTTTGGGACAAAATTATGATCCGGTCAGCCGTGACGTTCCCGATTGTCCCCGAGTCGTTTCTTCTGTGAAGGATATGGCAGCTAGATTCGAACAGATCAAACTGCAGCCTGCCCCGAAGACGGAAGCTGAGCAGAAGCTACCAGGCAAACAGAGTGTGAACTGCGTATCGCCTTCGCCAACGATGGATGTCCCGCAAGATGTCCAACAGGCGGAGGAAACGAGGCCGATGAAACTCTCATCGCAGAACCTGGCTGCCTTCACTAAGCCCGAAACGCCTTCGAGTCAGTCAATTTTGAACTCCAGTTTCGAATCAAGCTCCAGCCAGAATACCTTCATTTCCACTGCTACGCCCAATAATCCAATGAACGCGCAACAGAGCGGTTTGAATGCCGCACTAATGTCTATGTCTTTGACGCTGCCCCATGAGAATGGCTTGCCTATCGACTACCCCGAAGACGACATCAGTGAAGTCGCTATGCAGAACACCATTCAGAACACAACGATCCTGCCGAGCGAAGAAGACATTGCGCCCAGAAAGGTGAAGCGAAGGATTGGTAAGAAGAAGAGCGTCTCATTCTGCGACCAAGTGGTCCTCGTGGCTACCGCAGAAGACGACGAGAAAGATTCTTACATACCGAACCCGATCCTGGAAAGGGTACTCCGCTCGGCAATGAACAAACCGGAGACCGCTCAGGTCCTCCGCGAGATCAGAAGTCTTCAGGAGGCAGAACTGAACCGGGAGAATGGCACAGTCATAAAATTCCAGCAGCAGACTCTTCCCCTGAAGAGCGAAGCGGACAGCGTGCCAGCGACACCCTACCAAGATCAACTGAGAAGCGTGAATCCGATACCAATTCCAGACACCATAAAGCCTACCTTCGGTCGACAGAACTCGAATGAATCCGTGGGCTCGTTATCGGACAAAAAACTTTCCGGTTCCTACGGAAACGAAGGACAAGACGTCGTCAGAGAAACATATTCCGGAGTTCCAAATGTCTCCAAACCGCCTACTTCCTATTCTCCTCAGCTGCAACAGCAAATCAGGTACTCTCAGAACGGGTACATGCCCTACGTGCAGCTGCAAAGCTCTTATCCCCAAACGCAGACGTCTCATCCGAGGAATCAGAGCATACCCATCTCTCAGACGCAGAAACCGGCTAGCCCGTATCCGAGTCAAATACACGGACAATACGTTCAAAACAACGTGCAGCAACAGAAGCCGATGTGCCAAAAGAACAGCTACCAAACGTACTACCAACTGGAGCAACAGCACAACCAGGTTAACAAGCAGATGTCCCAGCAACAGCAGCAGCAGCAACAACAACAGCAACCGAACGTGAACCAGAGGATCGGGACTCACAACGCCAGCCCGATAACCGTGCAGCACTCCCAGCAGCAGTTCGCTTATCCGCCGACCCAGTCACCGAGCCCGTATCAGAACCAGTACACCCACAGTTCCTATCAGGGTTATCCTTATCAATCGGTTCCTCAACAGAACAGAGTGAACCAACCCTTGCCGCAGTATCAGCCGCCGCCGAATCCATCCGCGTCCTATCAACAGCAACAGGGAGTGCAGAACTACCAGCAGAGGCACGAGAATTATCAGAGACCACCGCAGAAGCCTGACCAGCAGAACATCCTGGCGCCTAATCAAACCTACCCGAACCCTCTACAGAACGGTCAGATACAGTCGAATATGAAGTACCCGACCTACCAGCATCCGCCAGTTTCGAAGCAGAGCAAACAGATGCATTTCGTGTCCTCTGCGAAAGGCAATGCCGCGGTTCCTCCGCAATCCACGTCTTCCTTGCAGAAACCCGCTGTATCAACTGCGGCCAGGACGGCTCCGTGCCACCTCTGCCGCAAGAAGCAGGTCACCGAACCAGCGATCTACTGCTCGGACTGCGACTTCTACATGTCCCGCTTCCGGCCTAAGAACTGAGACTCCTATCGATGAGACTCGAGAATCTGGGATTCGTAGCGAAAACTATTGTCTAATATGTTCATTGAACTCTCACGTGTAAGTTTCCTTTCCCTAGGCTACAGAGACTCGATCAATTGCAGCTGACCCTTCGGGAGAACCGATGCATGAAGATATTTCTCTGCTTTGTACAAAGTTTAGATTAGGCGTAGACGCGTGTCAGTGAAGACCTTCGTCGTGCAGCTATTATGTTTTATCGGACGTGTATCATTGATCATGTACTTAGCGTCGCTTGTAACTTATGGTAGATCGTGTAGAAACAGTGTACTCGACTTTCCTAGAGCGATCGTTGTTTCATGCTTTCTGTGTCGAGTGGATCAGTTCGATTTTTTTTTATTGTCTAGTATTATCCGAGCTTCTTCTGTTGCATATAATGTTAGCTCTTAGGTTAAATCCGTTAAGTTTTTTTCGTTGTATAAAGTATTCATTAAGGATTAACTTTAGGTAGTTCGAGCGAGAGTGAGAGAGAGAGAGGGAGAGAAAGAGAGGGAGAGAAAGTGGGAGAGAGTGAAGTTTAAATATTAACACTTCTGTTTGACGCACACGTTCGTTCGATGCCCCATTGTACTTCGTTCGGGAGACAGATTGTCAGAATTGTGATACTAGCCATGCTACACGTAGAGTTCTTATCGTTAAATTGTAGAAACAAGTAATCGAGGGCCAGACTGGAGGTAGCGAACGTGTT